GGCTGCGTCTCGCGTGCAAAAATGCACGTCCAGTCACGTTTCTGTGCTCTGATCACGAATCAGAGGGTGACTGGGGGCCGGGGGGGCTAGATGTTCGAAGAGAAATAGTGTCTTTGCCGGGACGCTTCATGACGATGGAAGAAGAGAAGCATCCTGGTCCTAGTTAAACAGAAGAGCGTGGGGCGCCATGCCTCGAGCTGTCTGTGCTCGTCGATTGGCTTAAGCTGGCGCACGTTGCGACCCTGGCTCTTGAGGCGTTAGGCTTAACTTGGTTGAGCACACCCCAATCTTGTTATCCACAGCTGGAGATCCGTTAGTGCCACACCTTTGGACAATTATAGCGGCCCTAACGAGCGTTTAAGCGCCGGGAGCTTGAGTTTCTCACCTTAGTTCAGGATGAGTCGAGCGACAGAGGTGAAGTGAGGTTGGGCAACGAGTCAACGCGCCGTATCACCCCGCAACACCTGAGTTCTTATATCGTTTCCGATATGGATTGTAATCTCATCCATCGGCAGAACAGGCCAAACCCAATTCAATAGATAGTGATAATGACGATGGATGCCCATGGCAACCCTCAGCACAAACATGATCAGTCTGTTTTCTCGTGTCACCACATTTCTCAATTGCAAATTGATCTTACCATGTTCGCATGCCTTTCAACCTCTCTGCGTATCCGTACTCTGCTGAGTCTGTTCTTCGTGCTGTACTTTCTTGTACACTGTAGTGCCAGGGTCATCACGGACCAAGTAGCTTCGGCATAGGAGCGGGAGACGAGCCCCATCAGCTGCATGCGAAATCCTGAGAAACGAGAAATAAACGACTGGCATGGATCGGTATTCTTCATTCTCCTATGGCGCACTGTGTGGGTTCCTCGCCTCATGCGCATATGTCTTTCAACGTCGACATTGCCATATGTTAAGGTATGAGTTGTTGGCATTGCTGTCATCAACGACGTGGACATACCGAGTATCATTTAATCTCTTGTTCAACGTATTATTCCCCTGCATGCTGTTGTCAAACGTAACACTCTTGCGTTCTTGAACATGAAGCTAGCCATGTGACTTGGGTCGTAGAGCAGATTTGAATGCGAATGTGAATGTGTGTGAACGTGCAAGCTTGTGAGCCCTTGCAATGGTAACAGCGAATATGTTTCCGACCTTGGAAAGTTTACTCTTTTCTCGCGCCTCATCCCATCCAGGAACAAACTTTTCAACGGTCAAGAGTCTTGCACTCTATCCCGGAGCCTGGATGCTTCCAGGGCGCCCAAATTTTTACCACACCGGTTCTGTGGTTGTGGGACCGAAAACCGTTACATCTGAAACTCTATGTTTTTGACTCAGTATTCTCCAGCCTGAGTTCGAGAGCGGATGGAGTTGGAACTTCAGCCCCAAACCCCAGCCTCCGCCACCATTCTTGTGGACTGTCCCCTGCTAACAAACTCCATCCCCGAATGATAGTCCTGTAATTGCTTGCCGTTGCGATCCTTCACACGATTCTTTTCAGGTAGCTATTCTTCCGAGCTTGGTTCAAGTCTCGAGAGAAGCACCGACACGCCCCAGGCCAGTAGACAAATCGTATGTTCACCTCAAAATGGTTTCTTCGCATTACTGCCACGGCTGGTGCTCGGTGGTGTGCTCCTGTCGGTCTTGGAGGCCCTCAAAGGGTCCCTGGATCGTCAAGGTTCTAGCCCCCACCAACTCCAACTCCAAGCGGAACTGCTCTGAGGCCCTCTATCAGAGGCTACAGGAGTCCCTGTACATAGTCCCTGTCAGATTCTTACTTGGCCCACCACCTCCTTCGACCTCGATTTCCTCTTCAGGCAGTGCGTTCACTGTGAGCTTTGAATGAGAATAGACGCTAATCTTGGCCATATGTCACTCAATAACCAACCATAGCGCACATGAATGGTCATTTCCATGAATCAAGTGAAAAGACTCGAACGGGCAGGCTAGTGGGACGGACCGTTTTTCTTTCAGTTTGTTTGCTCCAATACAGCATTCCTATCCGCTTTGATTTTCAATGCGATAGAAGTCAGGCGGATCATGGCGGCATGATTTGGTTGGCTCTTGACTGGCCATTTTTCGCCTCATCCACAATTCGACTATATTTTGCTGGCTCCAGACTGGAATTTCGCCTCATGAATGGTTATACGAGCATTGCTCATACTTGCGGTCAAAGATTTGACCTCTCTTGCTCATCGTGTGACTCAAAGGTCGCGGCCAAACTCGCTCACATGAACAAATGAATCCGCTTCATGTACGAATCGCAGTCTGTCACAACTATTCCTCGGAGGGAGCGGTGACAATTGACAGATGAACTCCTCTGTTCCTTGTCAAGAAGTTCGAGCTTCGCCAAAAGGCGAGACTAAGAGGTGGGGTGATGGAGTGCATGTACAATATGCTAGGATTCAGCATTTGGGCACTCTAGATCACACTGGAAATGGTATAGCTCTGCTGTAGTTTCTTAACTCTGTTCTTGGCCTTGTCAATCAAGGAGCCCCAAACCATCAGCTGAATCGGGAATATCTGTACAAAAGGTGCCATATCCTTGTGAGGAATTGAGGAGATGCCAAACGGCTCAGCAAGCCGAGGGTGAGTGGCTTTGAGGCGTGGTTGGCTGAAGGTGAAGCTCCAAGCATGATTTTCTGCAATGGATGTGTCGCCACGGTGATTGTCGATGAATTGATGAACAAATGGTACCCAGAATATGCAAAACGTATCTGTCTGTGCCTGGGCTGAGATGCAATGCGACGCGAAGTTGATTCACAGCACTACCACAACAGAGATATTGGAAGATCTGATGTTGTGGGGTCCAAGATTACGATTCTCAGTGTAGCACAGCATGACAGCCACCTTGCTGCATGAAATTCTGGTGATACCTTCCAAAACAACGACATACAGTGACGACATCATAAACGCTGCACTACCTACCCGAGTATTCAGCCGTGGGGCTCAGGTCAGGCAGGTATATACAGTGCAAAACCAGACTGTGTTACCAATATTGGAGTGTAGGGTAACTCCACTACAAAGTGCTCGTCGTGAATATCGATACTCGGCTAGTGACAGCTTCCACCTACAGAAGCACAGCATATACGCATTACTTTTCCTACAATAGGTTCTAGTCCCGCAGTGGACTCCGTTCAATGGTGATGTTTTGCAAACACCCGGTGTCTCCAATTGCTTCGCCTCGCAAATGAATCCAGAGCCACCATGCCATTGGAATGTTACCGTGGGATGCGAAGCCCATGATGGTCAATATCTTCTGCGACCCAGTAGACTCTCATAATCTCATCTGGAGTCAATAATTGGCTTCACGTCCGTCAATCGCAATCCTACGAGGGCTTAACCGATCCCGCTCTAGCTTCTTGGTCGGGATGCCCTGTCTGCTTCTATCACCCAACCCCTACTATAAACCTTGCTACGGTAAGGAAATGCTCAGCCCAACTCGAAATGTTCTTATTCCTTTCACAGCTTTACAGTAGGATGTGGTGGTAATGAGAACTGCTGTAGCAGTGTAGATTGATCCGGGTCCGGGATGGCATGTCTGAATGCAACAGGAAATAAGCAAGCAAGCAGAGGCGTGGATAGAGCCAAAGTGGCTTCAAATCCTTCAGGCTTCATCACGCCAGTGTGGGCTAATGTCTCGTTCCCGCTTAACTTCGCATGCTATGCCCGTCTCCCGTCCAGCCTTCGTCTTCAAGTCAAGATGCCTTGCATGAAGATATAGACCAGGTCTTTTACGGCAAGACTTGTCTTCGGGGATTCTCACCGACTGTCCCGTACGCCACAGAACACATACCGGTGACGACGATAGCTGTTGTGGAATTCGGAGCATCAAGATAATTGTGCGGGCTGATCAACACCACGCCTATGTCTCATATAGCCATCGTGGTGTCTCACTCTGAAGTTTGGTCTCGCCAAGACTTTAGATCGAGTTGGATGACCCATCGAACTCGAGGAGCGGCCGACAAGAAGGCTGGAAGTCCATGGACCACAGAACACCCGTGAACAAAAGTGCTGGCTGGCAGCACATAACGGGTAGCTGCTTGTTGAGGAACTGGACGACAAGGTCCGATTGCAGGGGATCGAATAATTGACTCAGTCATGTCACTAAGTTTGCTCGGAGACAAGCTTGAATATCTCCGCATCTAAAATCAACGACGAATTGGTAACTCCCAGGAGCCAGGCCGTGGTGTCCCGTCATTATTGTCTACAGAGGACTTCAAGAATTCGCCCCAGTATAAGACGGCAGTCAGAATGTCACATCTGAGCTCTCGTTTCTGATTTTGTGATGCAACCCCCCGGCATCACATCACAGTGCCATTGGAAGTGTCAATGTGCATGTGCCATTGTAATCCTTGTCTGAGCCAATCCTTACAGCTCTCCAAAGCGGCTCCTACTCTCCACTTCTGTTTCCCTCTCCATCAACGGTTTCAACACACATCTGGAATATCATCTATTAACCAATAGATGATTCAAAGCTCACTTCTGCAGAATCTCACATGATGCAAAACCAATGCGACCTCCTCGAGTTCTGTGGGTGCTGGAAGCACGGTCGCATTGTGGTCGAGCTTCTGGAGCTTCGAATGAATGTTCAATTCGAGAAGCCGAATCACTTCGGACCTACCAGGTTCTCCATTGGGACCAGAAGATTGTCATGGGTTTGGGCGGGGAAAGTGAGGGACAAAGTGATAATGTGAGTGTGACAAAGCAAAGCAAAGTCAAGTCGGCGCACACTCCACTGTGCTGTACCGAAGCCTTACTCTGTACTGTGCTTGTTTAACAGTCTTATCTGACGATCCCTGACTGTTGTTGATGGAGGCTTTTGTGAGCATTGAAATGGCTCAGCTTCCTTGATAGGAGCAAGGGCCCTGGTCAGCTGGAGCCTCGATCTACGATGCTAGCTTCAGCGTCGACTTGCTCCGGGCTATCATGCCATTGTCATAACATGTTTTTTCCTGTCTGGCCTTGAAGACGAGGTAATATGGCACAGTATAAACCATGATTCTGAGGACCCTAGATATGGATGCGATTAACTTCCCGCCTGAGTTTGGACCGGCCCGCGAGGGCCAAGAAGCTCCCCGCGGACCCTTCAACGGCTACGGAAAGGCCCACAAACGAACGTGGTGGTGTGTAAGTCGGGATACGCGGCCAACACAATTCAACTCGAGGTACCAAACTCAATTTTGCTGACAAGATGAGAAATGAGAAACCTTCGTCAGCCACACAGGGCTAGACCGTCTAAAACGGTAAAACACATGGTACACCCTTTGACCGTCGATGGCGGACAAAAGTTTGGTCCGGTCGCATCGAGATTCTGAATCATGCGTTGATGGAGGGCGAGTGTCAAGTTATTGAACTATATCGACTGTGAGATTCGAGGTCGGCCGCAAATTGCGGCCTAGGTTGACAGGGTGCCCAAGTTGCAATGTTGCCATACTGTGTCTCCAAGGAGAGGGTAATTTCGATGGCTACAGAGGGTCAACAATATTCCAGTAAACCCACAATCAAGTTCAGTTGCATTAAATTTACGAATACTACCTCGAGCGCAGATCAAAATATTCATTTACCAAGACATCGTGATCACACAACTGCTACGTAGGTACTAAACTTGCGGAACCGTCGGCCTTCGGAGTAGTTCAAGTAAAGTCAGTCCTCAGCATAGAGAAGTAGGGATCAACAAGAAGCATTAGGGTAAGCTAAGTAGAATATATAAACTCTCCGTGCCAACATGAGCAAGGATGTCGGAGAGCTGAACAGAGTTGCAGACAAGATGGAAGCGCATTGACATAGGAGAGAAAGTTTAGTCAAGAGCAATTGTTCCATAATTAGCCCAGATCAATAGTCTTTTTGGCCGCATACTCTACGACCTTGATGATGGCCTAATTATGCTGGAATGAACCAGGGAATGCGGGCTAAATTAAAAATAGACGTGGAAGTGAGCATTGGGATGTGACGAGATGTGATGGGATCTGTTAGCGCTTTTGCTGTGATGCAACTGTTGATCCAAACAAGCTTAAGCGGCAAGGCATGGGATTTAGCCCAGATTCCGAGGTGAAAAGAGGGGGCTAAAGAGTTAAAATATTTACTATGGTACTCAGCCAAAGGGCCAAAATCTCCGGCTTAGACGGAGCCCTGCCCCGATGGTGTCAATGAGGAGACCAGAAACGGTCTGCTCGTGAGTGAAGCTGCAGGGATCAGGGATCGTACGGCATGAACAGACGAGAAGACGACGAACAATCGGAGGCGGCCGGTAACGTCCGTCACCCAAAGACTGGCCACCCCCACAGACCGGCCACCCCGACCAAAACACCAAGAACCGGATATCATGATCAATTAACTAATTATCTCAACACCACATTTTTTATATTAAATAAAAATTTAGTCAGTGAATATTTAGATGAAACTGAGTACAAAGGTCCTCAAGTTTTAATTTCTTA